TACTCTTGAACTTCCGAATGTGGATGCACTCTAACAAAAGTGATTGAAAAAATGTAAAAAAAAAAGTTGAAGAAGTAGGTTATTTATGCCAAACTAAAAGTATGTCTTTTGGGGTGGAACGTCCAATTTGGCAAGTACTCCCTCCGTCTCAAAAAGAATGGGACGGTTTGCTTTTTTGGAAAATTAAGGGAGAGATATTTTGGTATTGACTTTCCAAAAATATTCTTGATGTGATGGGTAAAAGTAGGATGTGATGGGTAGATTATTAGGAAAAAGGTATGATGTGATAGGTAGGGTATGAAAAAGTAAGGGGTAGAAGTGATTTTTTAATAGAAATGTAACGGACTTTACGGGACGCAGTTTTTTCTAAACGTAACCAACTTTTTGGGACGGAGGGAGTATGCGTTTTGGAACGGGATTGAGAGAGCTAGTATTCCCTCCGTCCGGAAATATTCTTCCTATTTGACTTTTCACGGTATCTAATATTGTACTTTGACCATTAATATCTATATTTATATATAGATATATTTTATAAAAAATTGATATTTGAAAACTACGTTTCATTATGAATATATTGATATTAAATTTACATCATAATACATTGTGTTTTTTTCACAAATCATAGTCAAAATTTATAAACTTTGATCAAGAAAAGTCAAACGCGAAGAACATTTTCGAACGGAGGAAGTACATCATAACGTAATTTGACTTTTTATTTTATTTTATCAATGAAAAAATTAATACGGAAGGATTTGAAGGAAAGGAGTATGTTCTTACGAGTTCTTAGATTCTCCTTGATTAAAAATTTTGGCCAGCAAGTCGTACTTTAGGTTCCAAAAAAGCTGAACAAAACGAAGGAACAACTGACGGTAATTCCGAGGGGAAGTGTATAAATAGTAAAATGATACTCACTCATACAGCACGGAATAATAAATCAAGGGAAGGTTTTGAGGAGAGTTAATAAGTTGCATTGACGGAGGGGTGAATTGGCACATGCATGATTGCATGGTATGTTGCCATTTTATAAAAATCGCCAATTTTCGGACTCCCAAAACAATACTCCCTCTGTCCACCATAGATCTTCCCAGATACTATTCACAGGGTCAAACTTTACTCACTTTGTTTATCCATTTTACTAGTCATTTTGTAAAATAATATAGTCTTGTCACCTCTAATTTTGTATAACTTTTCATTAGTTTATTACTATATAAATTTTATTTTAAAATTTTACTCCTATAATCAATTAAATTGAATTGAAAATAAAGTCGGTCAAGCCTCGTAACGCGTAATGAGAAGATCTTAGGTGGACGGAGGGAGTAGTATAGTACTCCGTATATAAGTGATGAGCACATGTGGTGTCACGGAATGTAAGGGCACTATATGGTGGATGTCACCCCTCAAAAGATTGATGGTTTTACTGTTCAAAAGATTTATGGTTTTTACACCTTGAGCTTCTCGGTAAATCTTTCATCTCGATCCGACTCAACTTCACCTCCACACCCTTCAATTGCAATCTCCAAATTTTGTAGACTTCAGCGTCAAAATTTGACTCCAAACTCAACAAATTTTAGTGGATGAATTCAAGACATACCTGGATGGAAGGGTTTACTGGAAGGGTTATGAGGGTAGGAATAATAATAATAATAATAATAATAATAATAATAATAATAATAATAAAGAAAAGGTTATGAAGAAAAGGCTCTTAGTGGTGTTAAACATGTTTTTAGTGCATTCTCCTTCCATCCCGGAGTATTCGTCTACTTTTGACTTTTGGAACTGTTCATCTAAGTACTTTGACTCATCAAATTCTCTCAATGTGTAAGCCTAAATATAGTCATGTGTGATCTTGTTTGATTTGTCTTAACATATAGATTATTAATATATAATTTCTATAATTTTTTAATGTACAAATTACTAGATAAATGGATTAAAGAAGTGCATTGGATGATGTGTAAAAATGAAAATGGACAAATACTCTGGGACGGAGGTAGTATGAAATTGGCGACTTTTGTTTTTGGTCACTGTAATTTTTTTAAGTCATCAAATTTTTTATTTTGAAAGTAATCCTTAAATGTAGTTAACACTTCTAATTTATTGATATAACACATTTATTTCGTACTCAACATCGTAATCTTACATGAAATGTCCCTAGATAGGAAAAAATTTTGCAAATGCCAAAATAAGAGTTTTATGTCTTTTAAGACCAAAATAGAAGTATAGTGGCAGTGTGGTGTAAGAATACGTATTGGTAGTGTGAGGAAAATGTGATGACAATGTAATATGTCAGTTTGACCTGTCAATCGTCGGTGATCTGCAGTGATCCTTTGGTGGCCAGCATCGACGAATGGCAGTGTGGCGTTGATAGTGTGACAATTACAATGTGACAAATATGATGAATGTGACAATGTAAGAATGGCAGTGCAAGCTCTTATTTTGGTCTTAAAAGACCTATGACTCCTATTTGGGTATTTTCATAGTTTTTTTACTTCTCATGACATAGATTGGGTCCTTCATTGAACTAAATCTATACTTTCTAAATTATGTTATACTATATTCTCGAAATTTTCAGGAGTTAGAGATGTAATATTAATAAGGACACAATTTAAGACATAAAAATTAGGTCGCAGATAGTAGAAATGCAAGGCTCAGTCGCTAAGATATTTACAACGAAAAAAATGATTCGATGTGTTATCTCAACAAATTAAAAGTCCAAATTATGTTTAAGGGTCGTTTTCAAGATAAATTTTTAAGGATGATTTAACAAACAAAAAAATCACTAGGACAAAAAATAAAAGTTACCTATTTTACTGGACTAAAAATATGTTTAACCTTTTTTAGTAATATTTGTGTGACTCATCATTGTCATTCTTACTCCCTCCGTCCCTAAATATTCACCACATTTGCTTTTTCAGCAGTCGCGGGAACTTTTGTTTATTTCGACGTTTTCATTGGTTATTTGATAAAATAAAATATTCTTCACACCTCTTATTTCGAAGAACTTTTCATGTAGTTTTTTTATATATAAATTTTATTTTTTATTTCTATACCAATATGTAAATAAAATGAATTGAAAAAACTTGATATTTTGCCTCGGAAATACAAATATGGCAAATAATTTGGGACGGAGGGAGTATTATTTCTTACAAAGTACTCCGTACTTTTGAACAGAAATATCAGTGACATACTTTTACGTTTCTTAATTTACGTGTCACTAGCATATGACCCAGAAAAACTGGAGCAAAGGAAGTAGGAAAATGCTAGGGGTACACCAAAAGTGTACCCCAAACATCCCCCACCCCCTCCATCACCACACAAAAAAGGCAAGAAAATTTCAAAAAAGAGTAAAAAATTAAAAAAAATAAAATGAATGGTGTAGAGGCAAGTGGTGTACATTTGGAGTACACCTTTGGTGTACCCCTAGCATATCCCTTTAGTAATATTTGCATTAATCTTAATTTAAAGAAAAACAATTGATATAGATAATTCAACAGTTCATCAATCAAACGAAAACAATTTCACATTGCACTTTATACCAATGTTTTTAAACCCGGACCGGACCGGCCGGTCCAACCGTTTGGACCGCGAACCGGACACCAATCTGGTCCGGTTCAACATCAAAAACCGCCCTAGCGTTGACCCGTCCAAACCCGGAAGAACCGGCGAACCGGATGACCCGGGTTGGCCCAGCCGGTTACCGGGTTTAAATAAAAATGCCTATAAAATGAACGAGAAATAAGTTATTAAGCCTATTTTCAAAACCTCAAGGGGAGGGGGGGGGGGGGNAAGACATGTCTTTGTATTTCAAAATTTGAGTTGTGTTGTCATACTTAATTAGATCATGTGTAATGGACGCTATATGGGGGGGTCCTAGAGCTATTTGGCCGATAGTCATAGACAAGACATGTCTTTGTATTTCAAAATTTGAGTTGTGTTGTCATACTTAATTAGATCATGTGTAATGGACGCTATATGGGGGGGTCCTAGAGCTATTTGGCCGATAGTCATAGACAAGACATGTCTTTGTATTTCAAAATTTGAGTTGTGTTGTCATACTTAATTAGATCATGTGTAATGGACGCTATATCACAGAGGTGGCAAGAGATGGCGCCCGGACACCGCCTCGAAGGGCACCATTGGGCTAAGAAACCTCTCCGACATTTTCTTGAAAGCGCCCCACCCGGACTGCATCTCTCTTCTCTCTCATCCATAACGCCCAAGCCGACATTATGACACGACGATTTATTTGTGGGACATTATTTTTTAATGAGGTAGCCTTATAAAACAACACCCTTTGGCATTATGGTTACGTTTGGTGTTACATCACTCACTAAATCTTGAAAGTAACTTTAGTTATGTATCATAACCAAGGATAAATAATCTTTTTCTAAAACAGGGAGTATAATGTAAAACATCTAACTGTGGCCTAAAACTATGGTCGGGACCGTCAGATTATCAAGAAGGATTTGGGAATATATTCATATGCACCATTTAACATCCCGTGCCGGTGGGCGTAGTTTGCCTAGCAAGTGAGGCGTACGAGTTTCACCCTTTTAAAAAAATTTACAAACAATTCTTTGGGGTGTTTGGAAAATGGTTGATAACCATTTTTTGCAAAGTTTGGTTAACAGTAGCGTGGGCGAACACCAGGTAAAAAGAAGAAAGGCATGCCCACACACCCACACACAGTATTGAAGTTCTGACAAAAAATAATGGCGGGAAGTACTTTTGTCTACTGACTATGGGTCTGACAGAGTAAAAATGGTACTTCCCAGCTAGCAGAAAAGTCAGCATTAGCCACAGGCTGGCATCATCACCCACAAAAAAAAAAAAAATACTCCGTAACAAATAAAGAAGGATGATCATCATCCTCGAGCGCCCCTCAGGTCCGGCTGGACGGTCATTGAAAGGAGGTAATTGAACTTTAATCGCGGTTTGGTGGCAGGGAGTGGAGCTCGCACCTGGTACTTACAGATGCCCTATGTTTAGCATAGTTGCCTCCCAGTCTAGCCTAGCTGACAGGAATCGAACTCTGGTCTACCCCGACCCCAAAAGCAAGCACTCACTGCCTTTGTCAATTGTGGAGTGATGGCCATATTTGCATGTTCATGAATGAGACAAAATATTTGTATGTTCCTTTTTCCAGTTGACTTTCAGTGATACACACAGTCTGATGCTCAGGTAAAACTAACTAACCGGACATACTATGAAGTGCTGAATATGTGCCGACAATGGATGATATCAGTCCCAGTAGTATAATGAAAGTACATGCTGCAATCTGAAGAGAAAAAATCAACATAATGAGTTGTTAGAGAAATGCTGCCAAACAGAGCCTTAAAACATTTTTAGGAATGAAAACAACATAGAAAAAGGTTGTGGGGTTGAAAAACACATATTTCACCTCAATCTTTTTCATCTTGTCTCTGTTGATTTTGATGTAGCATGCACATGGAAGGATAAGTGACTGTAATGCAACAAAATATATCAAAGTCAAATATTACCAAATAACCCTTGGTGGTGAGCCCTTAGTCACAAGAGTTATTAGAAAGAATCCAACTAACAATTGGTGAAGGGATGGGCTACAAGATTAGTCAATAAGCACTTTTTGTTGTACTTTTTGGGTGAAAAAAACTTACCACAAGCATTACTAATGCAGATCCAATCAAGGCAGTTACAGAACCTACATTCATCAAATTTGAAACAAATATGAGAATTTAAGGCTATTTCGGAGTAAAGTTTTCAGTTTTTAATATTTACCGAAGTATGGAATCAGGAGGGAGACAATGAGGGTAGACGCGACTAAAACTGTTCTGATGAGTATAGAAATGCTGTGTGATGATCTTAGGTGGTTGGAAGGCAAGAGTTCTTCTATGCTAAATGCGACGGGAGTTATCGTCAATGCATATTTTGTGAGGGGAGTTATGAACTGCAGCAAAGATCAAACTCTAATTTACAAAAAGAAAAAAAGAAAAAAGGTGTAATCTCACTATAGCTGTCAATATAATTAAGGTTTATGTGTATCCATCCATACCACAATCCATTTTGCAAGTTTGGAAGCTAAGTGTCTCTCTGGCAAGTTCAAAGTGAACTGCGATTTCGTGGCTTCGCCGAACATTAGGAACCCAAGAATTGCAACTCCAGCAAATGAAACAAAGGCAACTAAAAAGCTGTAATTAAAGATGAAGATACATCATTTCTTTACACGAAACTAGAGGCACAAATACAACGTTTAGAAATAGTTTATCGATTTACCTTAACAAGATTAGAGAAGGAAACCTTGAAGGTTCTCTCATGGAGGAATAGATGCTTGGGAAAACTGAATGGCCTCCGAAGCAGAAACTGTATATGCCAACCGTAACGGGCAACTTTGAGAAGTTCAAAACACTACCGCTCGGATGGAATTCAAAGTCATTTAGTAACCCAACCCATAACAAGCAGAAGATGATCATGACAAATGCAACCACCCCTCCGGCTGAATTACAAGGCACAAACAACTGTAAGAAGTTACAATCATTCAAAACGGTTGCAGTCTCATAATATGAATACATGTAGTAAAAGTTTAGCTTTACAAAACCTGAGATGTATGACAGCAAACTAAGGTTTCTCAGCATAACTGTTGGAAGTATGAAAAGGGTGGAGATAATAACACATGTTTGGTAAGAGCCAAGACGAACGCCACCGAATGCCATTTGAGTAGTAGGGAAGAGAGCTGATAAGTTATCACCCATCATGATCAAGAATTCAATGCAAGAACACTGGAAAATTAAATTTGATCCAAATCAAGTCTTCAACTTATGCAACCGATATACTTTATATGATACGTAATTATGAGATAAGTTTGTGCACTTACATATAATTCAAGATACAAGATTGTCTGCATATATAAAATGAGTCTACATTAGTTCATTAGAAAGTACAGACAAAAAAATATCCATCCTTAAAACAAGATTCTACTTGTGATAGAAAGAGCTTCCCAAAACATAAAATGTGGTTTTGGGTTTCTGTATTAGTTAGATAGATGTGATGGATTGAGACTTACAGCTACAAATACACGACCGCTTGTGCCAAATGCAGCCTGCCCGATATCTGGGTAAGTCTCAAGTCCAGGAGAGCTTTCTAAGCATCTCTTTAACAAAATCCCAGTGTAACAAGTAATGATCCCATAAAGAAGGAGCAGAAATAGGCTCAGCCACCCACCTTCTTTAACAGCATAAGGAGTGGCAAGAATTCCTATGCCACACAACACGTTTATAGCTGAACACAATGCACAATAATCAAGAATAATACCCATCAGATCAGAAGTTGTCTCACAATTAATTGACATAATAGATTACACGACGTTGAAATTAAGGTGATAACGAAATGCATAATGGGATGAGATTAGCTCACAATTAACTAGTGATTGGGCATATGAACACTCTTGTGGTGGTGGCAATTCAGGGAGAGAGAATCGTGATATCGAAGTGGCAGTTGAAATCTTTGTAGGAAGGGTTGAAGTGGGAACTTCATCATCATTCAAACAAACAGTTTCGGATATGAGAGGTTTACTCAGAGAAGATTGAACAACCACAATGGATTGAGGCCTCCTGCTGTATGCTGAAGTGGAAGGTGAACTTCCCCTTAAGAAGCTTACTGATGGAGAAACTACACTTGTGTACATGTCCATGGACTGCCTATACACATTCAATCCAACTGTTAATTCACCCGTTTTCAGTTTTTTGGGTAACTAAAAATCAAATTCTGAAAAGAAGAAAATGTTGCTCTCCGCTTTTCGTCAGTAAGTATTGGGACCGTAGGACTCTCACTCTGACCCCGTATTAGCATGATATTCTCCGCTTTGGACCAAACTCTTGCGGATTTTTTTTAAGCACATTCCAAAAAGACTTTAGGGTCCGTTTGGTATACGGAATTGATGGAATTGGAATTGAATTGGAATTGAAATTCCATGGGATTCAATTCCATAGAATTGAATTCTGCCAATTCCAATTCATTTTTTGCACTATCAATTCCAAATCCACATAATTTTTGTGCTACCAAACATCAGAATTGGAATTGAAGCCCTCAATTCCAATTCCATAATTTGAATTCTGTGTACCAAACGGAGCCTCATAGTAATTGGGTTGGACTGAACCTACTTATGGAGTCAACTTTGTTCTCTCCCAGCACCGGGTGTGGGACTTGATTGTCATCCCAACAAGTAATTCTCTAAATTAAAGCATGCTACGTTTTTTATAATTTTCTAATGGTGCGAATTAACTTTGAAAATTTTAACATTAAAATATCATGTTCAAGTTGCCGAAGTCCTTAAGCTAATTAGTATGAACATGAATATATTAAATTCATTATACAATTGATATCAAAACCTTTAAAACTTGCAAGATTAAACATTGAAAACTGTCAAATAGATTCACAAATCACAATGATTTTTGGAACCAACACATTCTAATGTCCTTTTTGAAAAACTATTCGAGGAAAAAACACAAATTAATATGCATCTGATTTTTACACTTCCCCAGATGTTCAGATGTCAGGATTTTGTTTTCGTGCACGCAAAAAAAAAAAACGGGGAAAACAGGGATATATACCTGTAACTTTGAGGCCAATGAGAAATAAGCGAGCCGGCGACATTATCAGATGGATTTCTGGAAGGGACGGCGGCTGGATAATGTTCGGAGTCTGTATCGTCGGTATCGTCGTCGGCAGTTTCGGCCTCATTATCTTCGTCGTCTGTTTCTATATGGATCACCCTGTCCGCCCCAAATTCCTCGTCCAGCTTCATCTCAATCTCCTGAAATTTCTTCTGCTGATCTCTTTTGCGATTCAGGGAGTGATTATAAACCTGAACAGTCCGGTGCACCCATGCAACCTCTAAGCGATTACTCGTTGAGGAATAATGCCATTCTCATAACTTGCCCAAGATTTAGAATACTCCCTCGGTCCTTATTAGATTTTTCGTTTTGATTTTTCTGGTTTTTGAGAAAAGTTGAAAAAAGTGAAAGTTTATCATAAAATCTTTAATGAAAATGAGTGGAATGTATTAAATGAGGTAGGTGAGATATAATAAATAAAGTAAGTGAGGGTAGTTGTAGTATTTTAATTGTTAAAAAAGATAATGAAAAGATCTATGATGGACAAATAAAAAGAGCTAATGGGAAGATCTATGAGGGACGGGGAGTAATATTTTATTGAAAAAATTCACATCATTATTCTTACAATTGCACAATTTTTATAAATACTCTTGATGGAAATAAACTCCACCGAAGAATCCAATCCGGAAGGCCGAACCCGGTCGTAATAATGAATGGAAGTAATTGATGGGCTATTGGACCCGCGTGGTCCAACCCAATATCCACGAAGCACCATAGAAATCTAGGTGGAGCAAAAGGTCGACTTCTGAACAGCCCAGTCCTCAAGGACGAGTTGATGGGCTTCCGGCCTGACCTGTGCATAACGAAAGAGTCCTCCACATGTCCTGAGATTGACTGCGTCAGATCGCTGATTGAATAAGAGTGCGCGGCCGGGCATCAATGGCATAGGAAGACCAGGAGATGATTAACCTGCCATTATCACTTCCCTTGTAAACTCCTAAATGTACATCTACAAATTGGGGCGAAAACCATTCTATAACTCACATTCAACATAGCTAATACACTCGTGATCTAATGTTGCTCTCTCAAGCTCTGTTCTTTGTCTAGTTCAAAAATCAATCCAGTTTTCAGGTCAGATTCTTCGGTGGAATTTATTTCTATCAATAATATAAAAAAGAGTTTGAGAACACGATAACGAAGCAAGTAACTGTATTGTATTGAGCGTGTCGTTTATAATGGCTCTCGCCTGTATTTATAGGTCTACATCGATACTTTACAAGGAAAGTGATAACCATGAAAGGTTCAATCGCCCTGGTCTTTCTCCGCCATTGTCACCTAGCTTAGCAAACCCGTCTAGTCAGCGATTTGGTGCAGCCAAAGTCCTGAACCAGATCGAAGCTGATTTTTGCTTAGAACATGAGTGGGCTGAAGCCCACTCTTCCCCCCTGGGTCTGGCCTACCCAACGGCCCACTCCTTCATTGTCTGAGTCACATTCATGGATACCTCTTTTCAGAATTGGGTGGGCTTGGACCCAGGGGGGCCAATATCCTATCACAAGCCCCCCACTTAGGGTGTGCATTAGTCTGAATCCTGACCAGACCGCCCCGGGACTGAATAAGACACTTTTCTTGGACCTGGAATCGGTCTGAATAAGATAAAGACTGGCTTGGGACCGAATCAGTAAAACCCGAACGAGACCATGACTGATCCGGATTAGGCTATTTTTTTGTTTATTTTTAAAAATCAATTTTATCTATATAATTTAAGTTGTCTACTTGTAAATAAAGTATTTCTATTATTAATTTGTAATGTGTAACACACACTAAATATTGTCTATCACCATTATTTAAAAATTAAAATTTTTCACATAGTATCAACACTACAATTAAATCATGCATGTTGTTTATGATATAAATTAAAAAGTCAACAATAATACTACTGGAGCAATTTTATGATAGTACTACTCATACCAACAAGGTGCATCTTCTTTTTGAGAGCTCATCACCTAAAACTCCAAAGTTAAGCGTGCTTGACCTGGAGCAATTTTAGGATGGGTGACCCCTGGGAAGTTTCCTTGGGCGCGCATGACTGAGGACTAAGTGTGCGGGAAAGACTTGTGTTGGTTTGTGGGGCCAATCTACAATTCTATGAGCAGACGCTTCCGGTCAGGGTGGGGCCGGGGTGTTACAAATGGTATCAGAGCAACCCTGCGACCGTGATGGGCCAAAAGAGCTTAGTTCACATAGCGGGGAAGATTTAAGGGTTTAAAAAAATATATAAAAGGATGAAACGAGGACGTTGCATTCCTAAGTGGGGGTGAATGTAATACCCCGTATTAAGATGGGAATTAGAAGAGCTCAAAATAGATTGATAGTACTATTCACACCAACAAGGTACATCTTCTTTTCGAAAGCTCATCACCTAAAACTCCAAAGTTAAGCGTGCTTGACCTAGAGCAATTTTAGGATGGGTGACCCCCTGGAAAGTTTCCTTGGGTGCGCATGAGTGAGGACAAAGTGTGCGGGAAAGACTTGTGTTGGTTTGTGGGGCCAGTCTACAATTCTATGAGCAAACGCTTCCGGCCGGGGTGTTACAAGATCAATCAAGGATGTTGACGGAGGTTCCTGTCTAGACCACGGACTTTGAGCCCCTTCGTAAGCTTTCTTCACTCCCCTCAGAACGAACCTTAGTTCATTTTCCTTTCTTGTAAGCAAGGTAAGCTTTCCTCTACTTTCTCGTGCAGTTGGAACTTAACCATGGTGAATCCCAACCATTGTCTTGACAAATTCCTTGGATCAAAGAGGAAGAGAAGTGTTGGTTGGAGAGAGGCAGGTCGTCAGTCAAAGAAGGTGATGGAAGAGCTATCCAAGGGCAAGCCAACGAGGGACGCTGCTCAAGCTCCTTTAAGCGAAGCAAATAACACATCTTCCCCTCGAGCCGAGTAGCCAAGCCTCTCCATCTTCTCGTTTCTTGAGATGGAGGACACTAGAGCATCATCCATCGACGTCAAGGATGTGGATGTGGACTCGGGGAAGTCACTATTGAATGGAGCATCTGCACTCCTACGCCCCTGATTCCATCGGTGATCATGCCATGCTTTCCGCCCGCGAGGAGGCGGATCTCTCCCACTCTAATATTTGTCACTCTCGACTGTGAGTGGTTTTCCCCTCTATGTTCATTCCTTTACCGCCATGATCCTATCATTACCTGTTGGAGTACCTATTGGAGTTAGGGACTAATTGGCAAGGGAGGAGGTGGTGGTGGTTTAGATAATCGATTACGAGCTCCTTCAAGGGAAATCGACGACCAAGTTTGTGCAGTCATATGTGGATAGTAAAATACTCCGTAACTGAAAAGGGCGTCGAAGGCGGCGTCCGTGGGTTTTGGTTGTATCACAAAAATTTTGGGAGCCACCAGGTCCGTGGCATCTACGAAGTCTTGTTCTGAGAGGCTTGAAACTACTTTTCAAGTTTGAATTCTTTTCTAGCCACCAATGTAACCTTTAAAATGAAAGACATCTCTAGCGGCGAGGAGGTGTCAGAAGAGAAATCTTTCTCTAGACGGGGGTTGTCCATTACCTATCTTGGAAGAGAATTGTCCAAGGAGTTTGAGAGGATTTGGTGAGACATGATAACTGAAAGTAAATTGGAGGGGAGAAGGAATTCTAACTTGAGCACGAAGTAGCAGCTAAAGGAAGGCAAATTCATTCTCTTGAGAAAACGTACAGAGAAAGGATAGAGGTCTACGTAGTTATGAGGAGAAGCAGGATTGAAACGACAAGATGATCGAGTGTAATATTGAGAGTGGGAGTGGAGCGCATAGAACCCCCACGATCTACCGAGTTCATGAGGGGATCAAATGGCTACTGCGCCCTTCATGAGAAACGACACTCGATTACGAAGAGACCTAGATATATGATGGCATGTGTACGGTCGCGTTGAGAACAACCTGAAAATAATTACTCACTCCTCACCCCTCAAAATCCCTTTAGGGCACGAAAACTAGGATTTTTGCCCTCCGAGGTCGAGGCCCAACCTTATCCCCTGCGAGAAGTTCACTGATAACATTGGCAGGATGAGGCAGGCTACCTGATGGGTCAGGCGCATGGGGACAAACTCTTTCCACGGGGTGATTGCTCCTAATTTCAAAATGGACGGTAGAGACATAGCTGAGCAACGATGGTGGAGAAAGACCACCAGCAAGGCTGAGCCTTCAATACTGATCACCTTTCTTGTAATAACTCAAAACTAGACCTATAGAAAGAGGTGATAGCCATTGTAAACACGGGAGTCAACATAGCTCATAATGCTATCGTTCCATGTACTAGTAACTAAGAAGAAAGTTTTAAGACGGAGTATAACTTTAGGTCATACTTCATAACTAATCTAATTTAATTGTGTTTACATTCAAACTCTATGTATTAAAATAAAAAATCCATATTTTTATTACCAAAATAGAAGTGACAATATAAATAACGTGACTATATAATATCAAAAATACTACTCCGTATGTAATATCAATATTGATGTTACATTGTTGTAATGTAAATTTCTAATTTGGTGATAAAAAAAATGAAGCTCATATCTTAGAAATAAATCATTATGTGGTGATAAAAGAGAGAGGGAGTGACTCTGTAACATGGAACAGAATTTTGAGAATCCATGATGAACTTGTTGTTCATACTACCCACCAAGAGGAGGTTACAAGATGAGATATATATGATGGAGGTGACTCCACTTTCAACAAGGCATTTGTATGTTCCACTAAATTGCTGGATCACCTTCTGTTAGACAGTAGTCCTATTCCTAGTTGTATTTGTATTGTCTCTCTATATATACATTACCATGTACCCTATTGTAAGGTGTGAAATACAATTATTCAGTTGTGTCAATATGGTATCAAAGCGTAGGTTCCAAAAACCCTAAAATCTCGTTGGCTTCATCGCCGCCCCCTTCCCATCAATTTTTTCTTCTTCCTCTTGATTCTTCATCATGGCAAAAGGTACCCATGATCCGTTTGATACCTTACCTGGGGGCCTAAAACTCTTTCTTCGCAATCTTCATGCCTTGATTCCTACCAAATTGGAGGATCACAATTATCATGCCTGGTCGTCCACAGTCCGGGCCACGCTTGTTGCTCATCGATTGTTGGAATTTGTTGATGGTACTGCGCAGCCACCGCCTCCCACAATTGTCGACGAAAAGGCTCCAGCGGCTGCCGATGGAGTTCCGGTTCTCAAACCGAATCCGGCTTATGAGCAGTGGACTATTCTTGACGCTCAACTCCGTGCTGCTCTTCTTGCCACACTATCTCCCTCAGTTCAGAATCTTGTTCATCTATGCCCTACTGCTGCTGCCATCTGGGATCACTTTCATCAACGGTATAATTCTCTTTCTCGCACGCATATCTTCCAACTCAAAGAGCAACTTCACAATTTACGTAAGGGAGAATTGTCTATGCAAGCATATCTTGACGAGGCTCTCAAAATTGTCACTGCACTTTCTCTTGCACGAGAGCCTGTCCCCGAACAAGATCTTATTCTCAATGTCCTATGTGGTCTTCCCTCGGAATATGCATCCCTCAAACAAAATGTTCGAACAAACATTACTGATCTCACGTTCAACAAGGTCTCGTCATGGCTTCTTTCTGAAGAGCTCAATGTTCAACTAGAACACAAACTACAGATTGGTACCCCCTCCACGTCCAACACAGATGTTCTACAGCTCTCTATACTCATAATCGTGGAGGAGGATCACGTGGGCGTGGGCGAGGACGACTGCCCAGTTTCCGGGGAGGACGCATCAGTGGTAATGGGGGCCGAACCTCTTCTGACTGTAACATTGGCCGAGGTCGCAGCAGTGGTCAGCGGAATCCTTTACTTATTTGTCAAATTTGTGGCAGGTCTAATCATGGAGCGTGGCAGTGTTGGGATCGTTATAATGAAGATGTCAATGGCCCTTCTCAACGAACGAATAATCAACCCCTCTACACTGTATCCCCTACAGACTCTAATCAGTATTGGCACTTAGACTCAGGTGCAAGTACTCATGTTACGTCTGATTTATCAAGACTCCAAAATCCTATTCCTTATCACGGTCAAAATTCTGTTCTCACTGCTGGGGGACAATCTCTTCCGATTTCACATGTTGGCTCAGGTCAGGTGTCCACTCCCACAGGTACTTTTACCATATCAAACCTCCTTCATGTTCCCCATTTAAAAACCCACCTCTTATCTGTCCATAAATTTACCAAAGAAAATAACTGCTCTCTTATTTTTAATTCCAAGGAATTTATGATCCTGGACAACCATACCAACCAAGTGACATACAAAGGCCCATGTGAGCAGGGACTGTACACCTTACCCGCCACTTCTTCATCTTCGTCCACCGCGTATGCTGTAGCTCCGATGATGACTCGTGCTTTGAAGACCACAACTCATCAGTGGCACTGTCGGCTTGGTCATCCAACTCTTGAAGTTACAAAATCTTTACTCTCTCAGTTAGGTTTTACTGTAGTGCCAAGTGCCTTTCATTGTGATTCATGTTGTATGTCAAAGTCTCATAAATTATCTTTTCCATTATCCACTTCTGTTACTACTGCTCCTTTTCAATTAATACAGTCTGATGTTTGGGGTCCTACTTCTGTCTCTTCATTTGGTGGCTATCATTTTTATATCAATTTTGTGGATGATTTTACTAAATATTGTTGGATTTATCCACTTAAACATAAATTTGATGCCTTTAATGCTTTTCAAAGTTTTCAATCCATGATAAAAACTCAGTTTGGTCAGCCACTCAAACTCATTCGAACTGATAATGGTCGTGAATATTGCAACCAGAAATTTGGTCTCTTTTTACAAAGCTTAGGAATTCTCCACCAAAAGTCCTGTCCATATACTCCTGAACAAAATGGGGTTGCTGAACGCAAACATAGACATCTCATTGAGACTCTTGTCACGCTTCTTTACACCTCTTCCCTTCCCACGACCTTTTGGGTAGAGGCTCTTGCCACTGCAAACTATCTTATTAATCGCATGCCCAAGCGTTCCCTCCGTTACAAATCCCCATACGAGCTTCTCTACGGACACCCACCCGACTACTCTCACCTTCGTGTTTTTGGCTGCCTTGCTTATCCACATCTTCGGCATGAAATAGATCACAAACTTCAACCCCGTTCCAAACGGTGTATATTTCTTGGGTATGAGTCCCTCTCCAAAGGGTATCGTTGCTATGACCCCTCAACTCGTCGGGTGTACATCTCCCGTCATGTCCAGTTCAATGAGTCCGAGTTCCCGTACTCTAATTCTGGTCTACAATCTCGTCCCCCGTCTGAACCCTCTTATTTCGGAGTCTTACCTCTCTTTCCCAATTTCCAGGTGTCTCCAGTCTCTGCTCATGTAGACCCGTTGTCTACCCCACACCCTAACCCCGTACCCATACCCACCCTGGATACCCTACCCGAAAATATCCCTTCTTCTACACCCAACCCTGGTCAAACAACCCTCCCCACACACCTACCCACTAATCCCGTACCCATGCCCAGCNGGATACTGAGCCCAACACTTTTCGGGAAGCTTCTAAAAACATTTTTTGGCGCCGTGCTATGGATGAGGAGTTTGATGCTTTGATTAAACAGCACACATGGGTACTTGTGCCTCGACCTCTAGGTCGAATTCCGATTGGGTGTAAATGGGTATATAGGGTCAAACGCAATGCTGATGGTTCTGTTGATCGATACAAAGCTCGCCTTGTTGCCAAAGGTTTTAATCAGGAGTATGGCTTGGACTATTCTGAGACCTTTAGCCCGGTGGTCAAGCAACAAACCATTCGAGTGGTTTTCTCCCTTGCTGTTCGTTGTCAATGGCCCTTGAGACAGCTTGATGTATCTAATGCTTTCTTACATGGTGAGGTCGATAAGGATATCTATATGACTCAGCCTCCCGGCTATGTTGATTCGCAATTTCCCCATCACGTCTGCAAGCTCACTAAATCCTTGTATGGGTTGAAACAGGCCCCTCGTGCCTGGTATGAGCGATTCTCAGCTTTTCTCTATGCCTACGGGTTTCGCAAGAACGAGCACGACACGAGCCTTTTTATTATGCATGGATCTTCAGGGATACTTATCTTGCTTGTTTATGTTGATGATGTTATCGTCACAGGTAGCTCTACTACTCTTGTACAAGGATTCATCGCTAGCATGTGCCGGGAGTTTAACACAAAGGACCTTGGTGATCTTCACTACTTTCTTGGCTTGGAAATTGTTCGCACATCATCTTCTCTTGTTGTGTCCCAGAAGAAATATGCTCTTGAACTCCTTCACCGAGCTGGTTTTGCAGACTGTAACCCNAGCCTTTTTATTATGCATGGATCTTCAGGGATACTTATCTTGCTTGTTTATGTTGATGATGTTATCGTCACAGGTAGCTCTACTACTCTTGTACAAGGATTCATCGCTAGCATGTGCCGGGAGTTTAACACAAAGGACCTTGGTGATCTTCACTACTTTCTTGGCTTGGAAATTGTTCGCACATCATCTTCTCTTGTTGTGTCCCAGAAGAAATATGCTCTTGAACTCCTTCACCGAGCTGGTTTTGCAGACTGTAACCCTGCTCCCACACCGATCTCTGTTCGGCCAAAGACCTCGGAGGGGGAATCTCCTCTCTTTCCAGATCCAACTCTGTTCCGAAGCCTCGTTGGTGGTCTACAATATCTCACAACTACACGGCCTGAGATTCAATTTGCTGTCAACTATGTGTGCCAACGTATGCATGCCCCAACAGATGCCGATTTCCAACACTTAAAACGCATTCTTCGCTTTGTTAAGGGCACCACTGATCATGGTCTTGTGTTTCGGCCTGGTGACTTACAACTTAGAGCGTACTCTGACTCTGACTGGGCTAATGATATGTCTGATGGGAGATCGGTCACAGGTTATCTAGTCTACCTTGGGCCAAACTTGGTTTCTTGGAGTACGGAAAAGCAGTCTCGTGTCTCAAGGTCGTCCACAGAGGCCGAGTACCGTGCTTTGTCTTCGGCTGCAGCGGAGGTGATGTGGCTTACCTATGTCTTAACAGATCTCCGTGTTCCTCTCGTTACACCACAACTCTTATGTGATAATCAATCGGCAATTTATCTTACCAAAAATCCTGTGTTTCATAAACGAATGAGACATGTGGGTACGGATTGTCACTTTGTTCGCGAACAGGTCATTGCTGGTACTATGGAGGTTTCTCATGTTTTCTCTGAAGATCACTTGCTGATTTGCTCACAAAGCCTCTTCCTTCACCACGTTTTCAGAATCTTGTTTCCAAACTTCCACTCGCTATACGCCATTCAGCTTGAGGGGGGATGTTAGACAGTAGTCCTATTCCTAGTTGTATTTGTATTGTCTCTCTATATATACATTAACATGTACCCTATTGTAAGGTGTGAAATACAATTATTCAGTTGTGTCAATACCTTCCTTCTTTTGGAAGCTTCTGAACAATGCACCCCCCCTTATCAGTGATCACTCTCTTTTAAAATGTGGCATTCCAAGAAAGTTTTGGACTCATTTCTCCAGTCCTTATTGATGGACCCCTATCTTTATAGACAATTCTACCCTTAAACAGTATCTCTCTTGCTATGTTCTCTCAGGGCCAAGAGGAAAATCTTACATACAGATCAAGAGCACCTACCTTTAGTGTGCTTTATCAAGAATATAATCATCACTTGATGTTAAATGACTCATTTGCCCTTTTAATCTATTTCTTGTCCACCCCATTTACATACAGATCAGGAATGTTCTCTGTTTTTTCAGAAAGGCGATGGGGAATGAGGCGAATGAGTTGATGAAGAAGCAAAAGTAGTGCCCATCTGAGACGGGCTCAACTCACATGGCTCTTCATTATTCTTGTCGTTATGATCATCATCATCATCATCCCCACCATTATTGTTATGATGATGATGAAGATGAAGATGATGATGATGATCTGGGTCCCAGCTCACAATCTCTGGCAACTGAGCTTCTCCCTTCAAGTAGCCCAACACCTGTCTAATGCTGGGCCTCGCCGACGGCTCATTCCCGGAGCAAATCAGCCCCAATCTGAGCACCATCTCCGCCTCCTCCTCCTTGAACCGCCCCTTCAACCGCCAGTCCACCACCTCCAAAACCCTCCCCTCCCTCAACTTATCCCACACCCAGTCCACCAAAAGCATCTCCTTTATCTGCACCCCCGCCCTCACCTCGATCGGCCGCCGCCCGCACACCACCTCCAGCACCAGCGCCCCGAACGCGAACACGTCCGTCTTCGTGGTGGCCACCCCCGTCCTCGAGAGCTCCGGCGCCAGGTACCCCAGCGTCCCCACCACGCGCGTCGCCCCAGGGTGGGTCCCGTGCGCGTGAAGCCTCGCCAGGCCGAAGTCCCCCAGCCGCCCGTTCATCTCCCCGTCCAGCAACACGTTGCTCGCCTTCACGTCGCGGTGGATCACCGCCTGCTCGTACTCCTCGTGAAGGTACAGCAGCCCGGCGGCGACGCCGTTGATGACGTTGAACCTCTGCTCCCAGGTTAACACCGTCCGAGGACGGTCGAACAGGAAACCGTCCAAGCTCCCGTTTGGCATGTAGTCATAGACCAGCATTAGGTCGCACCGGGTCCGGCACCATCCCAGTAACTGCACGAGATTCCGGTGTCGGAGCCTCCCGATTGTCGAGATTTCCGACACGAATTCCCGTAGTCCCTGTCTGGATTCATTCGAAACTCTCTTCACTGCTACCTCTGTTTTGGAATTTGGCAAAATCCCTTTGTATACCTGTTCAAGATCATTTGGGATGCCTTCAAAAATGGAGTCTTTTTTCACAATTAATTCAGTTCAAATTAGATTAGATTTTATACCTGACCAAATCCGCCCTGTCCGAGTAACACGCTGTTCTTGAAACCACCAGTGGCCTTCTTCAGTTCACTGTAGGAATACCTGTGGGGACCAATCTCGAGCTCCCATGATTCAACCACGTCAGCATTCTTGATTTTCTTGAACACGAAAAAGCCGACCAAGACCGACACTAAGGCCAAGACCGCCGCCGAGATAGAAGCGGAGAGAACGAGAGCCAGGTGTCTTCTCTTGACTCCGGGGAGCGACGGGAGGGAGTGAAGATTGATGCTTTCGGCCTCGCCGTTCATTTTGAAGCTCCACCCGAGAATGTAGTGAGCTCCGGCAAGGACGCCGGTGGAGGCAGAGAAACCGACGTACATATTCTCCTCCAGAATCCGGGACAGGTCCAACCGATGCGACAAAAGG